TGGATTAGCCGGTCACTGTCAACGACGGACTTACCGAGAAAAGAAAACTGAACACAGTGACTTAAGTAAAGTGATCTTTACCGGACCAATAATTACCCCAATAAATGATTATTCGTAATAATATACGGAGCTCGGTGAAATAACAGCCAATTGTAACCCTTCAAGATTTGTAATATTTTCTGGGTTACCTCGAGTTACCACAGATGTCCTATATCATTGCGTACTTGTTTGGTATCAGAGCCATTGTTCTTTTTATTTTGCTCTATCCTGGTTTCGTGTATTTCGGATAATAAAACGACAGGTGGGAACGCGGCCGAAGTCCGGCAACTTTACACGCGTTGCTCAAACACCTGTTAAACATTCTCCATAAGGCAATGCACACAGAGAACATTTAACTGAGGGTGATAGGCTGCGAAAGTGAAATAAGGATGCAGAATTTTAGTACTTTATGAACGGTACAGTTAGGAGAAACTGTGCAGTGTGAAGACTCCCATACTTTGGCGTCTCAATATATTGAGCAGTAATACCAATTGAGCTGACCTGAGAGGATAAATTTTCTCTTAATATCTATCAAAATTATAAATATAACTTTGTCACACTATGCTTTGTTAACCATTTTTCATATATTTAATTGTCTAATTGTATCCGTTTTCATAACCGGCTGTTTAAATGGAAAATTTATCAGGACTTATTTGAGCATTTTACACCGTAAACGAAGAAAATTCATTACCTTATCTTGACTCCAACATAGCGATTAGTAGTGAGCCGGTACTTTAAAAATATACAAGAGAACTTCAAAATGTGTAAAGATTTACGTGGAAGATAGATAGTATAGTAGCAGATAAAAGGGGGCAAGGAACACCCACCTAGATGTATGCTTGCCCAACCGTATTTACCTTGATCATTCATTTTGTGAATGCATTTTACTGATTATATCCGAAAGCTCATTGAAAACGATTGACGTGGACAAAACATTTCATAGTATAGTATGGTGTAAATGTATATCATTCAGCACACACTTTAACTCCTGGCACGACAGTTTAGCATACATAACAGTGTAATCATCAACACTGATCTGCATTTCATTATTTGTGAATTTACTGATTGGTCGCTATGATCATTGTGAGTGGAGGAGCTTTTTTTAAACATCAATTAAGATGCCAACACCAATCTACCTCGAAGGAGGCACAAGCTGGTATATCCTAGGGGGAAAACTTTGTATTGAGCTATTCTCTACCGACAGCATTGCATACGTAGACTCAATTTGGATAACACTTTATTTTGATGGAACAGTATTAAAGCGGTCGATAGAGGGTAAATTTTCACTCTGGTTTACAGTTCTGCGCATCGTTGTGTTTCAGCTAGTACTCTAACTGCATAATTGAGGTAAAAACTAAAGTTAAAAACTAGCTCCTTGAACAAATCCTTGAGGGATTTGTCAAGCTTAAAAGGAGTGAAATCTACATATAGATAGTAAAAAGATTAGTGAATGACTAGAATCTATGGATTCACGGGTGATTTTACAAAAGAAAAACGTATGTAGAAATTGGTCTCATCTTACAGTTGGAGTCGGAACCTGGTTTCACCCAAAAAAGCGTACAGCAAAGTGAAAAGCACTAAACGTTTGGTAGAAGGAAATTTAGATGTTTGGTGCTGAAATAACAAATTCAGATTAAGAGCTTAAAGGACAAAAATCTCGTGTCAACCAACAAAGAAAGTATCAGATTTATACTGCAGTGTGTTCACAAAAGATTATTAAACGGTGCTGGAATGAAGTGCATTCAAAAAGTAAGAGATAAAATATGCCTATCAACATTCACAGGAGGAAGAAATTCAGTTCTGACGGAAGCGGCGGCACAAAATTTCTCCTTGAAGTCAATATTCTAAGAAAGTTAACTGTTAATGAACAAGGAAAAAATATGCTGCAATTATCAACAGTTACATGTTTCAAAGAATTCAACAAAGGATCATGTTTCAAACAGAATTACCTCTCCTTCCAAAGGGTCGTAAAACCTCTGAATCATGTGAACGATTGTGCTCTTTCCGGAACCACTTGGCCCAACCAACGCTACTGTTTGACCGCTCTTCAGCTCCAGATTGAAGTTTTTCAATACCTTTAATGGACAGTGGAAATTCATCGTAGCCGATGAGAAATAAGGTCTAGAAAAACCGAGTTTGAAGGGGGAAAATACCACTGTCCATGAACGCTAAAGGACAGTACGATCAAAAGCCAACATGTAAGCATGCCAAAATATCCTCGCAATTTTGACTCGCAAACATTTGGGAAAGTTTTCACATGGGAGACATATTTTTTGTAACTTTGAGAACCATTTTTACCATCGTCTGGTCCCAGATGGGCATCGAGTTCTGAGTTCTTGGACTCATGCGAATACAAGTTACTTTGAAAAAAGAAATTTGGTTTTACTTGTAAGTGTGAAATTTACCTGAATCTGCAACACTATCCGATTCGGGTTGTGCTCAGTGTTGACAATCTATTTCAACAAAAAGAATCAGTGTTTTGAATGGTCGGCCACTGATTTCACTTCATTAATCCTGCTATATTAATACGCAAAGAAGACCAACCCATTGTTACCCATCGGTCTAGGTTACGTTGAGAAGTAGAGCAGTTTGATTCTCCTACCCTGGTCAACTTAATCCCGTCGGTCCTATATATTTTACTTCTTGTTGATTGAGTTCAAATGAGACGGAAACATTTTTTGTCAGTCACAGATTGAAGAAAATGTCGCCCGTTTTTTATTTCATGGATCAACATAATCCAAATGATGCATTACAATTCACATGATATTCATACTTGAAAGTAGAGTGATGTATTACTGTATGCTAGTCATTGTGAAAAGAATCTTTAAGCTTTTAGACAAGCCTATTTAACGACAGAGGGATTTGTTGTTGTGTATGACATGGAATCAATAATGGTTTGATGAGCAATGCTGAGATTAGGCACAGAGTTGTAGATAATGGCGGTCGTTCACTGGATCAAGTAATCAACCTCCATAAATTACGCTGGTCGGGATATGTGGGGCGCCTGTCTCCAAATAGGTTGCTGTGGTAAACGATGTTTTTGGAGGCAGGTAGCGGATAGGAAAGAGTCAAGGGCGGTCAAACTAAGACCTGCGTTCAAACTGGCTTCGTTCAACATAAGGACTCTAATGCGTATAGGACAACAAGCTGCTTTGGTTTGTACGTTGTAAATCCTATAGATCGATGTATTTTGCTTCTCGGAAACACGCATTTAGGATCCGAACTCGATGATCCGATTATTGTCTCCCTCTAATCCAAAAAAGCGTTTCACTTGCGCGTTTCCGGGGACCGTTTGGCATCAGCGTCTGGTCAAGCAGGCGGTTGTATTGCCGTAGCACCAAGGCCGAGGCTGTATTCATGGTTGGGAAAGACTGCTTTTGTATTAGTCTACCTGCTTGGACTCTGATCACGCGCTGGTTTGTGCCATATTGCATATGCAACTTGGTGACCGCAGAAGGATGAGATGCAATCAGTCTGACGTCGTCAAGTTTCCCTACCCGGTTGTGCTGGCCGCAAAGCTAATTACTACCCCACCAAGAAGCGTAGATCAATACTAGATAATCATTCAAAACGTGCTGCACTCAGCTAGTTGTGGTTTGATCCATCGAGTTGTAAAACACTGGGTCTCCGTTAACTCTCTCAGAATTCTTGAAGCGCGTCAGGCAATCGCGAAAAACAGCGAGTACAATGAACAGCGCCTCTCTCAGAAGCGTGAACTCACAAAGAGCCTGAGGAGACTGGTGGGCGCTACGTGCCAAGGAGATGGAATCAGCAGGTAGGTGTGGAAACTTTCGGCAACTGTTGCGACTCATCCGTGCTACGTGCCTAAAAGACAGTATGTTAGTGAAACAAGCTGCAGAGTAGACGGTACACCAGTATACAGTCTTCTCAAACACTTACAACGCTGGGCAGATCATTTCACATCGCAGTTCAACTAGCCCCAAGGCGCTAGCTGCCTGAAGTAGTTTTCTCGAGAGTGCATCCTGGACTTTATTCATGGAACAGCCCATAGAAGCGTAGGTCCGAAAGGAACTCTAAGCTCTGAAACACCACAAGACGGCTGGATCAGCCAGCCTATAACCTGCCCTCTTCAAAGATGGCGACGAAGCTCCCATAAGAAAGCTTGTTAAACTGTTTTCGAAAATCTGGGAAGCTGAAAGTGCACTTCCGTTTTTCTCTTCAGCTTTACCATAGATTATGTTTTAAAAGAAGTGGTGCTTGACATACTGAGCTCCTTCCTGGAGACAAGGACGTAGACTGAGTATGCCGATGATATTGCTTTACTCGATGACAACGCACCGGCAATTCAAGACTCTCTGAATCATTTGGTAAATGAAGTTACTCGTTATGGCACATCCTTCGCACTTTCGAAGAGTAAGTGTTATGGCAAGATTGGTAGGAACCCGTTTTGCACTTTCTCTGGGTGACCACACTCCGGAAGTAGTCAAAAGCTTTGTTTACCTCAGGAGTTGCAAAACGGTTGACGGAGGTGTGGGTGAAGAGATCTCTCAATTCGTAATCAAAACTAGATTAGCGTTTGGTAATCTGCGACATCTCTGGAGCCGGTGTAACATATCCCTTTCAGTGAAAGGATGAGTGTGTTGAGCAACGCTGTACATCGAGATGCTCTATCGCTGGGAAACCTGGCCTCTCCGAACAGCTCATGTCCAAGGACTATCTGTCTTCGACAACCGTTATCTGCACAACACCGCCCGCGTATGATGGGATCATCGTGTGTGTAACGATCGGGCAGGACGACGTGTTAGGATCAGATAGCCTTCTATTGAGGAAAATAATTTCACTGTATCGTCTGAGGTAGCTGGAGCACGTCCTATGAACGCCTGACCAATATCTGCCATACCGTACGCTATTTGCAGACAACGGGCCAAGCTGGAAGAAACAGAAGGGTGAATAGGTCATGACGTGGCAGAGAGAACTCAAGAGAATGCGCCCGGATTTGGCTTCCGTCCGGGCTTCCTGACTATCCGGCTGGAACCCCAAAAATTCAGATTGTTTTTGGTTGGAGACGCTCCGGGATATGGCACTGAACCGAAGTCAATGTTGTGAATGCATTCTTTCTTGAGTGAGATCCCAGAAGTAAAAGAAACAAAAATGTCAAAATGGCGTGTAGTAAACAAGCAAACAATTTATTATCCCCAAAATTGATTGCTTTTGTTTTCTCCCTTTTCTTTCTGCGAATTTTGCGTTCAGCCCGTGGTTATTTTGGCCGCGCATCTGCCAATATTCGTATTAGAGACGCTGCGACATGACTGAGTGTCGCAAAAGTGGCCTTCGTGCATCTACTGAATATTCTTGCAACCCCGGTCCATATGAATTTTCTATTCTCAGGTTGAAATTGCCCTCAACATCTCAATCTTCATTCCACTCCTTTATCCAAGTGGCCGGCCAAAAGAGAGCAAACGAAAATGCATGGCTTATAGTTGCAAAACATGAAACTGAAAGGCATGTTGCAGTAACTTACAACAACATCTGAACGCAGAGGATAGGCGAAGCCGATGTTCTTAAAGGTGATATTTCCTCTAAAATCCGGAATAAGCTCCCCACGTTTGTCTTTATCGATGGGTGGAACCTAAAGGGAGGATGAAAAACGAGATTGAACACGGTCGTCGTCAAATGCCGTAACTTATAAAGCTCTAGAATTTGTGCCGGTATAATCCCTTGACTTCAAAGCGTCAGCAAAGATATTGTTCTCGTCATCATCATCATCACCATTTACCATGAGATACAAAGAAACAAACTTTACTGATCACTGTGAAGCTTCCATTATAGGTACTTGTGTGCAAGTTGGAGACAGGGTAGAGCTATTTTGAGGAGAGGAAAAAGTAAATCCATGGGATCTACGGTCAACCTGTCCATACACAACTGTTTAAACGCTTTTGTTTGACAATGAATGACAACAAAAACACTACAGATGCCTGTTCACCATCGTGTCCTACAGAATTTCCAACGTATTGCTTATATTGTCTTGGATTCCCACCTGGAATGGAAGAAGATCCACGTAATCAAGACAATGGACAATATAACGGAGAATTCTCTATACTCCCTTTTCCGTGTGTCGATATTTTGCTTGGTCACAATTTTCTCAGCCTACTTTAAGATGTCGGAATAGGTTTGACGGAACAATAACTCTTTTCTTTAATGTTCACTCACTGCTGCTCGTTTAGAAGCCATTGCATTTTCAGAATCCCTCTCCATACTGCTGGTCCATAACCACCAAGTCGCGTCGTCACTTCCACGGGATGGCATTTTTATC